AGTACACCTCCACCCGACCTCCTGAACTCCTCACGTCTATCACATCTAAAAACAGAGAATTTATCATCAAATATTTCACTGTTCAATGGTTTAAGCCAGGTTTCAAGAAATGCATAAAAATCATACTCAGCCATATAGGTTTTATAAAAAATATCGTCTAATTTGGTGTTTAATCCTCTGACATTTCGATAGTACAAAGTCAGGTTGGATATAAAAAGGAGTGAGAATTCGTCCGATGCACGGGGCACAGGTTTATACATGCATAGAGTCATTTGGGGTAAATGTGCGCAGTGGGTAAGAGTGCGCAAACCCATTCATTTGAGTCCCAAATACATGGGATTGCGCACGTTTACCCACTGCGCACATTTACCCCAAATGAGTCTACACTATTATATACCCGTGCAGATATTTCATACGCACGGGGCATGGGTACGAGCACGGATACAGTGTATGATAGACCCGTGCCCCGTGCCTCATCGGACGAATTCTCACACTCCTAAAATAAACATTTTCAGATCTTGTTTTTTTTAATGTTATGTTTGTGGCGCATTTTGAACTGTATTAAATGGTCAATTTTCAAAACTCAGTATAACAGTTACTAAATAACATTTTTCCACGTTAATTGCAAACAAAAAATGTTGGTTCACAACCTCTAAATATCAATATCAGGGGCTCAATTTTTAAAATGTTTTTTATTTCATCTTTTAATAAAACTTTAAGAGCACAAAAGAAAAATTTGTCAATTTTTGTTCATACTTCCTAATTTATATATTTAAAAACACCTTTGTATTATATACAAAATGAATCAGCTGAATGACAGTTTCACCGGTTGAATCAATGAATTTTACTGATTCAAAAATGATTCACCAGTAAAATTGTCATCCGTTGGTTGGAATTAGTGAATCCCACTGACTAATTTTAAGATAGTAAATATTAGGTGCATACTTTTAATATGTGGCTGTAAAACAAATTACAATTAAAAAAGAAATTTTTTATCTGTCCAGGTGTTTCGAGCTCTGGCTAATCTACTTGAAATCATTAATTATTCAATAACGTTTTACATTTATTGTTTATTTTCGGAAGACTTTCGTAATACTCTTATCCAAACACTCAAATGGCCATGGTGTAAAGCAGCACGAGATAAACATAAATTATCCACGAAGAGATCTCTTAACCCTAGACCAACGATCATCGCAGCATCACCAACAACTACTCTTGCAACTTCTAGACACGCATCTCGCACAAGCGTGTAAATCTATTTTGACCAATAATATATGTATTAATGGAAAAAGTAAAAGGCGTACGTCAAAAAAATAAGTGATTTTTTTGGAACGAAGTTCCTTATGGGGCGTTGCGGAGGGGTACCCTAGCCGGCAAAAAACGTCCGTAACGTTAAAAAAAAGCATGAGATTTTTATGCATAGTCTATATATGATGGCTACACTGTTAAAAATTTTTGTAAAATTACAATCATATTACAAAACAAATGATATGTAAAATTACATATCAGTGTATAGCAATGCGAAATAAAATACAACTCATGTAATTTTCCAACACCTATCAGGAAATCTATTACTAAGATGTATTGTAATTTTACACTCTTCTTGTATAAACCCAACACGCATTGTAATATTACAGAACTGTTCGTCAATTTTCAAGAAAAAGCTTTGTAATTTTGCAAACATTATTTGTAATCTGATTCGGCATAATTGTATGTACTCTCTTAAAAGAAATCAGTGGAATTTCACTGGTTCGCCAGTGGAAGTTCACTGATTCCAACC